CGGCTCCCACGGATGCTCCACCTCCTCATGTGAAAGCGTATGATACTGCGTTATCAGATATGATAGAAAAGTGGTCCGCTCTTTCCAAGCAGATTGGAGGCGACGTATTGACCATGAATAACAAGGTTACCCATGTATTTGATCTGCTGCGGAATTTTTTGTGGACAGCAGCAGGTCGTACGGAACCTTCCCAGGACGAAGTACAAAAACTTGTTGCTCCTATGGTTAGTGCTCTTTCCGACATCACTTCGTTCAAGGATTCAAAGCGCAACACACCTCATTTCAATCATCTCTGTGCGGTTGCCGAGGGAATTCCTGCCGTGGGTTGGGTTCTTGTGAAGAAAACGCCCGCTCCTTACGTGAAGGAAATGCTGGAAGCTGCTATGTTCTACGTAAATCGCATTTTGAAGGAGTACAAAGATGGCGATCAAAAACATGTGGAATGGGCTAGGACTTGGAAGGAGTTGTTGGAAACTATGCAGACATTTGTTCGACAGTATCATACAACTGGTCTCGTATGGAATAGTGCTCCTGGATGTGGAGCACCACACTCTGACACCCGTACCGCAGCTGTGGGTGGTCATCCTTCTCCCGCAGCTGGTAGTTCTGCTCCACCACCACCGCCGCCACCACCTCCTCCATCCTTTTTCAAGGATACATCCTCCCCATCGCCTGCCCCAGCTGATAGCAAAGCTAGTAGAGATGCTCTATTTGCCGAACTTAATAAGGGTGAAGCCATTACCGCAGGGCTTCGAAAAGTGACGGCTGACATGCAGACGCATAAGAATCCTGCTCTACGTGGTCATGAACCTGCAGTCGTACATCATCCGCACCCTCAGCAGAAGCAGGTTGCCATGTCTGCCCCGGTACATCATCCACCAGTTATTGAACTGAAAGATGGCAAGAAATGGGATGTCGAGTATGTTGTTGGCAATCCAAACGTGGTCATAAATGCTACCGACAAGAAACAGAGCATTTATATCTACAAATGTCAAGACTCTGTCATCGTCGTGAAAGGGAAAGTGAACTCTATCACGCTTGACAGTTGTAAGAAAACTTCCATAGTGTTTGATGCCATTGTGGCTCAGTGTGAAGCGATTAACTGTCAAAGCATTCAGCTTCAAAGCCTTGGCGAAATGCCTACACTTTCCATACAGAAGACCGATGGATGTCAAGTGTATCTCAGCGAAGCGTCGAAATCTGCAGAGATCGTGACCAGCAAGTCTAGCGAAATGAATTTGCTCATTCCTGGTGCAGATGGCGATTTTGAGGAGTTTCCTGTTCCCGAGCAGTTCAAGACCACATTTGATGGGAAGAAACTCGTCACATGCGTGTCCGATATTGTCTAATTTGGCATTACTTTATCTAGTCGCGAATCTTTTTTTTTGTCAATTCTGGTATCGAATCATAATCCATGCTAAGCTTGTACTGTCTATGTTGTTTGTGCCTTCAA